GTTATGAGAAATTAATATTAATCTCTTTCTATCATATTGACCTAAATATTTCAACATTTGATCTATACAATCTGTACCTACAAATAGTTCTACTACATTCATTAGTTTATCATGAAATTCTTCTGGAACATTATCAGTAGGATTTATATTTTATCGTTTCTAACTTTTTTCTTAGTTTTTCTAAATTAATTAAGGTGCAGGCATAATTGCTCTTCGATTGTTTTTTTCTGAATACGTTTCGCAATCCCAAGTGAATAACGCATCATCACTCATACTCGAAAGCACGTTTAGTTTGAGAGGTGAAACCTGTGTTACTGCGTTATCGTCTCTACACGTTTTCCACACCTGTTCTAATTGTCTTCTATTTCTTGAATTCCCAAACTTTTTTGGCTTCTTCTAATCAAACAGAAATGCGAGTTGTGTAAGTAAAAAACCCAATCTAATTCATCATGTACGTCTCTGGGATGAAAATGTCTGTTTTTGGGATTATAAATTTGAAACGAAGTGTTGAATTTCTTGTTGAATTCCTTCATTCTAGCACAAGTCATCACTCCTTTTCTATTTGCTTTTGAAAACCCGTTGATGTATTCTTGAAATTCTCTCGTGTAGTCTTCGTTTAAAACACGATTGACGCATTTTATAAAACAGTGACCATCTGTAGGTATGTAACAATTTTCGCCGACGAATTCATTGATCTTTTTAAGTAGATCAGTTCCTCCTCTACCAACTCTCGATCTTTTTATTTCTTGGAAATTGTCTTTCATTAAAATTATTTTTCCTGTAAAATACCAATCGGAAGCATCGGATTTTTTGTCCATATTTGAAAAGATATTGTGAAAGGTTTGGCATTGAAACCGAGGAGTGACATGTATTGTCTGAGATTCCCTTCCTCGACTATCTCTCCATCTATTTTAATTTGTCCTTTGAATGTTTTAAATTTATCAGAGATAGCCTTGATAACATCGGAAAATAGAGCGTTTTCTATCAATGTTTCATCGTCTGCAAGTTCGATTTTATTCATATTTTTTTAAGTATATATTTTTGATTATTTCTTTATTTTGACCGCTGATATTTCTGTATGGAATTTGTCCAAAATTTCATTGAATTCTTGTAATTCTTCAACTGTTATGGTCTTGTCTTCTCTCGATCTTTCGAAAAAGATGTACAATTGATTAAGATACATATTCAAGATATCCGTTTTCTTTTTATAATGAGCTTTCTTTTTGCTCGTGAAACCTAAAGTGATGAGACCGCAAGAGGTCGTTTGAACGGCTGTTGATGCAGCCAATTCGGTTGGGACGATGACTGGAAGCATAAATCCACCAGTCACGGCTGTTGCCACCGTTACTCCTACCGTTAGAACTGTGCTCGCTGTTTTGAAAAAAGAATTGATTCTACTCTATGTTTTCCTGCATGTATTGCACTGTCTCAACTTTATTTTCAACTCTTCTTGTTTGTCTATCATGTATTGTTGTCTGCTTTCGAGTTCCATTTTTTAAGTCGTTAAATTAAGTGAATTTCCGATAAATGGAACCATGGAATATCGTATAGAGCGCGCTTGTTTGGCCTAGCATTATTATATTTGCGGGTATTAAAAGTAAAAACATTTACGCGTACTAACGACATTTCTTTTTTCGTAAGGTTCTCTTTAAGATGATAGGAATATTTTCTTTTTTCTTTTTCGATGTTTATCTTGGCTCTAAAAATAAAACCACCAGCATTAAGGATGGAGTCGGAACCTTCGGCAAACGATAAATGTACTATAAACTCTCTTTCTTGTTGACTTTTATGAACATCGATCGAGGTGTATTTTTCACCTAAAGCGAAATACAGTTTTACGTATTCAAAGTCTGTTGTTCGTAAAAACTCGTGACTGCTCGA